GAAATGTTTGAAACATGTTGATGGCTTTCATATTGGTGTCTTCCTTCTCAATGAAATAGCTTCACGAATTCACGAGCATCTTTAAACTTGCTATGACATGCCTCATAGAATTTGGGCAGCACTTCATTCATGAACTTTGCTCTGTCCGTTTTTGGGTTTAGTATCGATCCAGCCACATTTGATTTGCTCTCAAGGATGCGTGTTTTTATTACTTGGCCTTTGAAATTCAATACCCCAAAACTCAATGTTTGATGACTTGTCGAGGGAACTGTTTATGCACTGGATTTTCTTTATTTGCATCACATTCCTGTGCTTTTTTCTGTAAAATATTCCTTTCTCTTTCTTAAAAAATGTGTAACCTCAACCTTGGACATACCTGAGAGGCAGATATTAATAAATGTAACTTGAACGTTTTGAGGGCGGGTCACCTTATTTCATTTGCAGACTCGAAGGGGGGCCACATTATGTTATGCAGTGGCAAGAAGAGGCCCATGGGAAATTATGGATAGGAAAATTAAAATGTACCACCCCCCCCCTGCCCCCCGTAATAAAATTAATGACTGGTCCCTTAAGTCTTTTTGGATATCATATTCTCAATTTTTAAAATGTTTAAATAGGATTTTTTTTTTATGTGTAAAACATGTTACAGTTAAAATATGTGTCATCATAGGTGCAAATTAACAACACTGGTTATAATATTCTCAATACTGTCGCTCACCAAGATTAGTTGAACCATAGGTAGAAACCGTGAAAGAAAAGAAAATTTAAAAAGGGGGAAAAAAATGAGACAATTACTTCGTGAACTTTATATCAGCTATAAAATTGCTCAAAGAAAAGTCATCTAATCTGTCTTTGTTATATCTAAAAGGGGTTCTTCACCCTCTGACACACTAGACTGTTCACAGTCCCTTATTTTTCCGTGAGATCATCGTGATATGGGGCGTCTTAGTGTTAATGACAGCTGTCTTGATTTTCAAATGTTACTGAGGGGGGCTGGTGTTGGGGGGGGGGGGGGTTGGGGGGGAAAAA